ATGCTATGCTTCACTACTTCTTGAGCACCGGAGTCGATGAAGAGGAGATCGGGGACCTCTCTCTTGAGAAGATGCCGAATCCTTATATTCATCGCTTTGGTCTGGCAGAGGACTCCAATGTCCCTATCTTCACCAGCAAGACCAAGTACGCCGCGCTCATCCTCAATCTTGGCAACATGAGCAGGGGAAGAAAGCGTTCCGCTCCTAGCTCCGTTGCTAATCACATTGACTGGGACGATGCTACACCATCTAAAGGAGCCTTGATAAAATCGATTGCACAGTCGAAGACGCATTTGTTTATGCTCTGCGAAGCGGCTAAGATCGATGACTCCGAGGAGGCCTTCCTCAAGTCACGCGGGTGGCAATTCCTGCGTAACGAGTCCAAGGACCTGATGGTGGGAAGTCGTACCTATGGTGTCGGATCTTCGATCACCCGTCTTGCCGGCTCCACTCTCAGTGGATTCGCCCACGAGTCTCTTCCAATAACCTATATGGTCGCTGAGATCGTGTATGGCATGACGTTACCGACCGGCCTCCAGGGCAGTCGTGGTGATGTTCCAGATGAGTCACTGACCAAGGTCTTGGAGCGGGCTGGATCCGACCGTATCAGAGTTTGTGTCTTCCACCTCCACAACGACGCGGCGGCAGATAAGGTGGCGTTGGCTCATGAAGTGTTGGGCAACATGTTCATTGACTGCTTGCACTACCAAGTCGACCTCATCGGTGGCGACGCCAACATGGCCCTCTACCGGGCCACTGGCAGAAAGCAAGAGTCAATGGATATTCGTGGCGGGATGTACCAAAGCCTTCTCGACTACTTCTTGGAGGCCTGGTCAGAAAGCCCGAAGTGCCCACACCTCTGTTCGCCTCGTGCGAGACATGTGTCAGCAAACGCCATGTGGCTTCTGAAGCAGTATGAGGACACGCTGGGAATGCCATACAAGGAAGCTAAGCAACCAGACTGGAACACTTTTCCTGGTTTGGATCCTGTTATGGCTACAGTCGTGGAATGGGGACACAGCATGTCGGACGATCAATGGGCGGAGTTTCCACCTTCAAAGACCGAGTTCGACATCCATGTCTCTGAGTGGCTGTTAAATTCCACCAGCGCCGCGTACCTTCTCAACGATCGGGACTATGACGCTCACACTCCGCTCCTCATCGAGGTTCACGCGAACCAGTACTCTGGAAGCAGGATGAGGGCGCTCAACCGCAATCCCGACACCATGAAGGAAGCCGCGGACAGAAGAAAAGAGAGACAGAAGCTGAACAAGGCGCGTGGTTCTGGTTCTACTGGTCCTGCAGCCGCACCACAGGGAGCAAGCTCTTCTCAGGAAGAGGCAGCTTCTGGTGCTAAAGCTTCTGGTTCTCAACGTCCTCAAGAACCCGCACAACCTCCTGGTGGCAAAGAAGGCGGCAAAGGAGGCAAGTCCTCCAAAGGAAAAGGCAAGGACGCCGACAAGGGCAAGTCCAAAGGCAAGACCAAGGACAAGTCCAAAGGCAAAGCCAAAGGCAAAAACTGACTAGGTTCAGACGAGGGCGAGGACGCAGACGTTGACGTTCCTGACGAAGACGTTGGTCCTGGCCCAGCATCCTTTGGTGGTAGACCGTGGTTTCCATTTCGCCTACAGCTTCATCACTGGAGTTTGGAGAGATGGTACTACCCACACTACCGGCTGCTTCATCCAGACGACAGTCCTCGAACTCGTCGCATGGTTGAGCAGTACAACCAGAGGGTGATGAACCAAGGTCCGTTGGAAGATGTGGAGTGAGTGTTTCACGGAATGCTTCTTTCATAAGAAGGTATCCAGTTTGAGCATTCGCCATTTCATAGGAAGATGCTTTTCTCATGAAGAGGTACTTCCTTAGAGACCTTGTCAGGAAGAAGATACTTATCTCAGGATAAGATACTTCTAACGCCCTTATACGTTTGCCGTGTCGCAAGATGTCATGCTGGCATCAAGTGGAGCTAAGCTCTACAATCTTTTATGTGACAGTAAGCTTTCCGCCTGGAGAGGAAACTGAACACAAGTGGGCAACTTTCAAGCAAAAGTTTTCAGTTGAAGATCCGTTTGCGTTTTCGTGCGTGTTCTGCTCTTTTCATTGAAGCTGTCTTCAGGTGAGAGATGTATAGATTCTCTTCAAGTCGCAGATGTAGCTCAATACTCCGCTAATTCGACCGAGAGCAATAACAGGCTAGTTGAATGCCGACTCCACGGCCATGCAGCTCTACGTGTTTTAAATTTGTGCCTGGTTGAAACACTGAATGTTACACATCCAGGTGCCTGTCTGTTTCACGTATCACTTGCATGTATCCATGCCTGTTGCTCAAGGTTCTAGTGCAGTGGACTACAGCTGTGCGCCTGTAGCAAAAGAGACACCTGGGGATACACGTCCAGGTTACATCTCAACGGGGGGGAGGGGAGGGGAGGGGAGGGAGGGGGGGGAGTGGGGGTGGGAGCGCGTTTGCTGGGATGGCTGGATTCGTGTGTTCGCTTGCGGCCAAAAGAGGATGCTGGTTGAGGGCCACCAGGCCGCGCCCCAGTCTGCGCACCATATATTATGGATCTTACCCTCAATATACATCAGAACCCATCATCTGCACCAGGCCGCGCCCCAGTCCGTGCACCATATATCTGTGGGTGTGGCCCTAGATCTCCAAAACTTGTTTTAAGCATACCAGGAGTTTTTCAAGTCATATACATATACAGCTTTATCTACACAGACATATACTTCCTTTCCTTTCGATCAGTCAGGAGGAAAACACGATGCACAAGGAGGAAGGCAAGGGAGCATGAGAAATGACAAAAAGGAGAGAGCGAATCCGAGAATGGCAGAAGGAGAACAAGAGTCAGGGAAGAAAAGCAAAAACAAAGAGAAAAGGAAAATCAATTAAACAGAGTGGGAAAGAAAAAGGGATGTGACGCAGAAAGCCGCCGAAAGTGCCATGCCCCCAACGTCTGCTCATTCCTTGTTCTTTTCCCCTGTCTCATTGCTGATACATGAGGAAGAGCTCGTGGAAGAAGACAGAAGAAAAAAGTTCTCCTCGTCACTCACCTCATGTTCTTCCTCTCCCACCTCGTCCGCTCTCCTTTCATTGATTTTCTTATCCGGCGAAAAGGTAAGAACCAGGAAGGAGAGGAAGGAATGCGGAGAAATTGAAAGAAAAACAAAACGGGAAAGGACAAGAAAAAGACATGACAGAAAGAAGAGAGATACTGAGAGAAAGACAGAGGGAGAGCTTCGAGCCCAGCAGAAGAAGAAGAGAGAGACGGAGATGAAAATAAGAGGGGGGAAGGGGTGGAAACACAAGGTGTGAGCCGAAGCTGTTGAAAGGGAGGAAATCCCTTTCTCCCCTGCTCTTCCTGTCTTTTTATTCTTTTTGTGCAGGGCATGCATGGAACGAGGAAAGTGAGAGAAAGAAGTAGCGAAAGCTTCCTCTCCCGGCCTCCCTCTCACCTCTTCCTCTCATTCTTCCGATGCTTACTCGAGTTACTCATTTCGGAAGGATGTGAAGGAGGGAAGAACGGCAGAATGGGTAAGGCGTGGAAGGAGGCGAAGGAAGGAGAGAAAAGCGACAAAGTGATAGAGCGTGGGCCAAATCGATTGAGAAAGAAAGAGAAAAAAGAAGATCAGGAAGAAGCACACGGAAGAGGAAGCGAGAGAGCCACAAGTGAGGCCCAATCCCATCCAAGTGTAGTTGTATCTCAAGGGACTCTTGCAGAAGCCTGCTTCCCTCCTAGCTCGCCTTGTGACGTTGTGTTCTCCTCCGCTCCCCTTGCCTCTTCCGTTCCTCACCCCCTAGATAGAGAGAGACATAGAGCACGAAGAAAGGCGAGGGAGGAACAAGCAAGGAAAAAATGAAAACTCATCCATTTCTGCATGTCTCCCGTCTTTTCTCTTTCGTCGGATGCTTCCCATCTTGCGTGTTAAGCCCCTGTCTTTTTTGCACACAGGGAGTGGCTGTGTTGTTCTCATAACGCAAGGTTCGTTCGCAGGCCTGAGGGATGTCAGTTTGGGGATGGGTTCCTTGGTTTCATTGAAGCTTAAAATACTCTTTTGCAATTTCAATCAGGGAAATCTACATTAACAATCAATCAGGGGATGGAGCGTCATCAGTCCTTATGAAATTGCCACGATACCCAACATAAGATTCGCATCAAGAGCTACAGGTGTGCCATAAATGAGCCCAATCGGCCCCTTACCCATTCTTGGAGGGGGCCGGAACCCCATTTCAATAACTGAGATGTTTGAAATAATCGGAATACTTGAAACAAGGCCGATTTCAGTTATTTCGGCTGTCCTCAGTGTCCCGGCAGATAGCCCTGGACGCGCTGCTGGGGGCGGCCAAATCCCGCCCTTTTGGCGAGCCTCTGCGGGGCGCTAGGGGCAGCCACCCTGAGCCCGGATGTTTAAAACAAGGGCCTTCAAGCTTTGGATTTGGTTTCGATTTACAAGTGGATTTCCGGCCCGATTCAACTTTTAAATCTCAAGCCCCGCCGCGATATAATGTTCAAACCACACCCCCACACCGATATCAAGTGTACCAGCTGCGAGTTCTAAACATTTGGAATACTTAAATGTGTACATATCTATGTCGTTTAAATCTGTGGAAATCCGTGAGGCCTCCGGTACCGAATTGGATTTAAACGTTAAATCCGGCTTTCGGGCTCGGTTTAACTTTTGAATCCCGGGCCCCGGCCCTGATTTTGAAGAGCCCCGCCCAAATGTGAGTTTTAACTTTCGATTGCAGCGCCGATTTGAAAATCTCTGTATGTATGCTGCACGACCGAAGGCACACGCCAAATAGACCGGACGGAGGGGTATGTGTCCCGGCTGTCTTATCCCGAACGGCTGATCACCCTGCACCGTTGCTAGTTGCGAGCTATGCCTAGACCGTACGAGCACATCTACCTCCTCACATGTTTCGAGAGCAGTAGTCTCGGATTCATGACCACCACAACCGAAACGATATGCAGAAAGTACAAGATCCAAGTGGCGCCAATCTCCCTCGTAGTAGACAAAGTTTCCGTTGAACCACAACAAGCCACCTTAGAGCACAGGCAGTTGTAGGCATCGAACTTCTGGGCTGTAAGAGCCAGAAACTCGTCTGTTTCCTCCTGTGCAAATCCAGGGTGCCATCGTCGCCCACCCAGGGTCGCATGTCGTATCCGCTGCACGACGATGATAAGGCTTGCGTGAGCCGACCTGCGCGAGACTTGTCGTTTATCCACCGAGTGCCATGGCTGCGAGGGCAGACCATGGCCCCCGTGCAACAATGACGCAAGCTTCTTGCCACAAGCTGGGTAGCTCTTTGGAGTAGTGAGCAGTGTCTATCCGAACCATCAAAGCCAAAGGTTGACCCAAGTCATGCCTCCACGCTCCACGACCTCACATGAAAAAGCGGTGACGAGTGCAGCTTTCTGTCGCGCCAGCTGTGCTTGCAGCTTCACCATCCCTGCTCTGACCCGGTTGCAGAGACACACAGCGCAATTCTCCGCAGTGGGCTCTGAGCCCTGGGAGCCGCACGGGCAGCATCGGATTGCAAACCACGGCTGCAGCCCGCATGGAAGGCCAACCTGACAAACCGCTAAACTGACCCGCAAAGAGCTGAGTATGCTTGCGGCTGCTCCTGCTCCGTACCTACTAATCGAAGATCAGCAGCTGCGCCAGCTCTTCACCACGATGCGAATGTACCGTGCCGACACTGGTCGAAGAAACATGACCTGCGCTGCTTCGATCGCCAGATTCCACCACTGGGACCACACACAGGACACATGGATCCGGCCGATGTGATCTATATCGATGTGAAGCAGGACATGCAGCCTGTTGGTTGGTGTTGCGGTCGCGGTTTCCTCCATGCCCACCTAGGCCCAGGAATCTTTGTTTAGGGTGATGTCTGCAAGGCAGGATAGCAAGGTCCGGAAGAATGCTTTGTCCGAGGGCATGGCCAGGTGCATTGAAGAAGTTCCGATTGTTGTTACCTCGAACACTTCATCTCTGACAGCGAGCTTATCTCTCTGGTTTGCATGGTGATGCTGTTTACAGACCGGTCCAAGGACGAAAACAATCTAGTTACCGTTTCGGATCGTTTCGGCATGAAGCAGCGCTCGACAGCTGCTTGCGGCCACAGGTACTGTACTGAACAACATAGGACGTCACCCACTGCCACGCGTTCGCACGCCCTCGCGTGACAACACCTTCCGGGCTTCTGACAAACAGGATACAAGGGCCGAAGTAGAAACATTAATTCAAAACAAGGAATATCCAATTCCCCGGCAAGTCTGCATGCTCATACAATGCTCCATGCAAGCGCAAGAGGCATTGCGGGCCTGCGACATAATACTTGGCTCCAAGGTCCATTTGCATCCATGAGTTCTTACCTTGGCGATGTGCAAGACTGGCTTGAAGCTGCAACCAACCCTTCATGTAGAGTTTCTTGCAGGGCTTTGTCTGCTGGTTGTGGCAAGCATTCCGAGCGGCTTCGCGTGCGTGCCGACCACGCCTGAGGAGAGTTCAATCTCGACTGCGCATGTCCTCAGCAGACTTACAAGACCAAGCCGAATGATCGGTCACGGATGGTCACGGTTCCAGCCCGGCCCTTTGCGATGGTCCGGAAGAAGAACAGATCGGCTGCGAACAAGGCAATACCCGACTTCGATGGCAGATGACCACGCTCAGGGCGGAGCCAGTTCCTTTCCTGTTGTTACCTTGGCTCGCTCTCGTTCCCTTAAAACTGAAAACTCAGCAACAAAATCGCTTCCAGAGGTGGTGAGGGTGCTTCCACGTCCTCGGACCCTTTCTTTCCGAGACACCCCAGATGCTGTTGTAAGAGCGCTGGCTCTCGTCCACATCCAGCACGGTTCGGGCGCAGGCCTCACGAATGGAGCTGCTCCAACTGGAAGAGCCTTCAGGCGGCTTCCGGCGGCCTGACAGGACTTCCCGTAGGCATCCACACCGGTCAGCCGGAACCATCGATCCGGACAGCCTCGGAGTGTGCACCGGTGCCTCTTGACAAGCCCCAGGACCCCCATTTTCTGCCGGGCCACGCCGGTTCCAGTGTTTGATAATCCGCAGCCTCTGCGTGCCCGTCTTTGGGAAGCCTGGCGCAGATGCTTCCACAGATCAAGCGGACGTCACTTGCAACACCAAGCTCCACACTTTCGTTGCACTTCTCTGCAAAACTCGACTAAATCCCAGAGCATAGCAGTCTGCTGAACGCTGCCCGAGTCGCGGTTTCGGCACGTTTCCCGGCCCGTCCAGGTTCCACGGAGCCAGCATGCATGACGCCATGACCTCGAGATAAAGGTTGATCAAGCTTTGCCGAAGCTCTCGCCTGTCGTCGGGATTCCTGGAATATCTCTGTGATTTTGAAATCTTTCGTATTCTTCAAACCAAACCAACAAGTATGACCTGAATATGGTGTGAATAGGTCAGCTCGAGTACAAGATGCCACATTCCGGTCACATTCTTTGTACTGTTACACCCGGGGGCCTCACGGCCCAGTTATCCCCAGACGCAATACACGACTTGTAGATGGCTGTCTGTGAAGCAATTTCAGAACGCGTCTGGCTGGAGACGTACCAGAAATGGATCTTTGAGGAGCTGGACAGAGGTCACCCGGTTAGGCCGCGAAGGGGCCCCAACTTAAAATCATACGATCCTCACACATGCCCGTAGTGATTCCATCGTGCTTCCACCATGTAAACCTAAATCTTTTCCCGGCACGCTGCCTAGCAGATTACAAATGGAAGCTTCGCATGACCAGGATTGACGTGCCAGGATGCATTTCTGGGGGTATATTGCGATTATCGACCTGTCCCAAGATAAGGTTTATTCGAAACTGCGGCATGCCAAAACCATATCGAACAACATCATAGAAAATACTCGGACCACCCGCTACTGCCTGTGAAGGCAACCAATCAAAGGCCACAAGCCGTATGTACCTTTATGACAGGAGCAACCCCTGCCAGAAGCTGCGCTTCGAGGAGATGATAAAAACCTGCACGATTTTCGCCAGAGCCACCCGCCCTGGTCGTACTGGACTCTGTACCAGCAGCGTAGCCCGGTCCAGTGGTACACATCGAAGCTATCGAGCTGCATTGCCTGGCAAACGATGCCTCCTGACAGTCCCCAAAGGAACCGAAACAAAGACTGAGGGCAGCACGTAGGGCAGCTTAATCTCTGCCCACTGCGTGAAGTGCACACCACGCCCGTAGCCCCAGGTCCAGGTATCTGATTGAGAAGTAATCTGTGATGAGCAGTCGTTGTTGCGTCCTCGGTCGGTAAAGGTTGAGTGTAGTTAGGTGATTCCGTCCTGCGGACTTCACTCCGGAGCGCCGCTGTGTTGGTCAAGCCGCGCCAGCCCCACCAGCGGTCGTTGCTATGGCACCGAAAATTTGCATTGTGCGGGGCATTGTCCTTTTGATTGTGGCAGACCTCAGCCAACAATCCAAGCCAGGGAACGGGTGCGCACCGAATGTGAATGTGTCCGACACACACGCATGTCCAGCCGCTTCTTTCGCCTACAAAGTTCACCAAGCTTTGTCTCATGTTCTCATGTTCAGAGACGATGCCAGTTCCGACGAGGGAGAGGACGACAAGCAGAGAAAGGAACAGCAAGAGAGAGCCTGGAAAACCAGCGTTGCATTGTCGAAAACATGTCTTCTAAATTAGCTACAACACAAGTACTGCTGCTGCCGCCTTCATGCCTACTACTCCTGCTACTGCTTCTTGTACTTCTACTTATGTTTCTGCGAATGCTAGAGACTCCTACAAGTACCAAAACTTAGACTACTACTACTACTACCACCACCACTGCTACTACTGCTGCTACTACTACTACTACTGCTACTACTACTGCTACTGCTACTGCTACTGCTACTGCTACTGCTACTGCTACTGCTACTACTACTGCTACTACTACTACTACTACTGCTACTACTAGTACTGCTACTACTACTACTACTACTACTACTACTACTACTACTACTACTACTACTACTACTACTACTACTACTACTACTACTAGTACTACTACTACTTTCGCTGCCACTGTTGCTGCCGCTCCTGCTCACGCTGCTGCAGCTGCTGCTAGGCACACACGTTATTGGACACCCCGAAAAAGAGCTGGGATACTCATTGAGTTGACTGACTGTGGCAAACATCGTCATCATCAGCAGCAGCATCATCACCACCATCATCATCCTCATGACCATCATTATGGTCATCATCGTCATCAGCATCATGATCAGAATCGTGATTCAAGATCGTCATCTTGATCATCATCCGTGACAATAGCCGGATCATGATCATCTTCATTTGATGGCCAAGCAGTTTGTGCATGTTTTGACATCGAAGCCATGATTGTTGAAGACTTCTGCTTTGCGGGTGTCCGAAGGGAGCTTCGGATGGTGCTGTTATTACAGCGCACCTTAACTGCCCCACCCTCCCAAGCTCTGGAAGTGAAGAAACCCTTCGGCGAGGTTGAAGACCGATCTCGAAGCAGAAACCCGCCACGAAACTTGAAACAAGAAAACCCTGAAACGAAGACACTACGAATCTCCGAAAGTCAGTCTGAAAGCCAAACGAGCCTCGGAGACTAGCAATGACGGCGGAAATAATGAAACCCGAAACATACCTGACACGAAAACACATTTAGATGACTTATGTAGGACTGTAGTACTCAAGAACATTTGCGAAAACCCTCTGAAGTTCCGGCTGCTGCTGCTGCTTCTGCAGCTGCTGCTGTTGCTGCTGTTGCTGCTCTTGCTGCTGCTAGTACCACTACCAATCAGCGTGGCGCAGTATATGTGAGGAGCGCCCAGGTGGTTGATGCTGTTGTCACGCGTGTGTTTTGGCACTTCTTGTCGTTGTACTCAACTGAAGGACGAGCTTCATCTTAAGCACACGTCTCAGTCATGCTGCCGCCATACGCTTGTAATAACTGCTAGTCTGCTAGCCATACCGAAAGCGCTACTTGCCCGACCACCTTTATTCACGTAGTTGTGACTGAATGCGACTGAATGCACAGGCTTTCGTTACCCCTAAGGATCTGACCAAGCTTGTGATTTCGATGTGCAGTGCTACTTGTACTGGTCCTTTGGTTTCCCAAAGAAATGAGATCAGCGCGCCTTGATGACGGAGTAAATAGCGATACGATTTCCGGATCCCAGGCCCTTCTTGTTCCAAACCTCTTTGCGGCAGTCGTTGTCTGGGGCCTTACAGACTTCGACATACTTCACAGATCAACACAGCAGGATAGACCGTGCTACACGGGACTCCTCAAGGAGCCACGGCACGATGTTCATCGTCGGGATATCGTCAAGCAGCATGCATTCGGCTTCTCCAGCTTTCGAATATCCTGCGCTACAGTAACCATCTGTAAAGTGTGCAAAACTGCTCGGCGGAAGGGAACCCTGTCCTTGAGGAAACTCCATTCCGAAATAGAGAAAACCGCCCTTCTTCGCGAGCTGAGTACACTTCGGCATCGTATATGAACCGCGCTCCTGACACATAAACTCATCGAGCTTCAACCACTCCGGCTGTGCAAACTGTTGGCCAAGTCACACGACTGTTCCTCCGATTCCGGCCCTCATTTCGGAAGCAGCCGTTGTAATAAACCTTTCTGAGGCTTGACAGCACGTTTGTGAGCATGCAAGAAGCCGGGTGCGGCTTGGACTGCATATTCGAAGAAGTGCAAATCAACCCTTTCTCACCGTGCTTCCTGCCTCGGTCGTCGTTGTGGTCGTATCCTGGGGATGGGGCATTGGGAATTCGGCTGAGGGCCAGCCCCAGGCAGGATTTGGGGTCCGGCCTGCTCATCTGTAGGTGGCGCGACCTGCAACAAACTTCTCTTCCCTCGCGGTGACTTAACCGCAGCCCGAATGCAAAGGAGCCACCCGACGAACGTAGCAGTCGCGCCCGTCGTTCTTGACCGTGCGGCAGGTTGCAGACTTCCGATACAGGCATCGCCTCGGCAAGTGGAAGCCACCGGCCGTGTTGCCACCATCACCACCACCATCCTCCCGCTTGGTACTGCAGTCGAAGTGGCTTCTCCTTCTCGTACCAATTGAAGCCACCACAGCTCTCCTCGGAAGGGCAAGAGGCATTCAGCACAGACATCATCCGCGAAGGGTCGCCACTCACCTGTTTCGTCGAAAGCCGGATCACTTTGCCCATTCCGACATTCCCATTCTTGAACAAGAGTCCGAGGCTTCGCAGACAGGGCCACACACCTTCCGGGCTTCCAGTGCCCAATGCAAAACTTCGCCCCAGAACACTTCAGTCGTCCCAGGCCTCGACTGCAGTCTCGCGTGTCGCAACGTCATAGTTGTTGCCTTGGTTGGGACGTGCTCACAAAACACACGTTTCAATGGCGGCGAAATCCGCCGAGGCCACAGGCCCAGGCGTCTTGGGGGGTTCCCTCCACCTAATCCTCCTCCCTGCGGTCCAAATGTTTGGGGACACCCGCTTTTTGCGTTCGTTTGCCACCCCCTTGCCCGGCTTCCCCTCATTTTACCTGATTTGTCGGCCTCCCCCCTCCCAGGCCTCCCCCCCCCCTCCCCCCTCTCCGCTTCCCCCACCCCTCCCCCTGTGCCGATACACCCCCAAGGAATACTCCTTGTGAGGAGGTGTATGACCAGTTTATTCCCTAAGGATCAAAGGGCAGCGCCCTGCACACGGACAGTAGTTGTTTTGTCTTGCTACGCAAGGAGAGCTTGTCTTGTCTCAATATGGTAAAACCACTGTGAGCCAATGGGCAGCGGAATGTATATGTATGAGCATGCAGCCATTGCTGTAGGTACCTGTTAGAGCTACCCCTTTAGAGGTTTATGGTTTCAAACAGACACTAATTTTCTTTTACCGAAAGCATGGCCGCACATTCACACATATACTGTTATGCCCACTGTCACAGTTGCGGAGTTTTGGACTCATTATAAAAACAGCATATTATTTATGCTAGGTATAGCACTGAAGTACACTGCTGAGGAAACTCCACTCCTTTTGCGCACACACTCATGCATATTTGTCAGAGAGATCATCTGTACAAGATCAGGTCTGGTGATGTTCTACTACCGAATTATGCAGCCACTCATTGTGCTCTTGTTAGAGACTTGTGATTCACTGTTGTGAAACTCTGAGAATTTTCTTATCTCAGATTCGGATCCAGGTTTGGATCATAGGCTCGAGCGTAGACATTCGGATGTGGCTCATCCGGGTCTGAGTGGTCTTCTTCGGAACTTGAAAAGATTCCGAATAATCTGTTCTCAGCCCTGGTGAAGGCGGCGTCTGCAGTATCATATCCATGGTTGGATGTTGTCGCCTTTGGCTCGGCCTTTGGAGCAGCTTGTGAGCTGACTGGAGTTGCCTTGGCTTTTGCCGGTTGTGGCTGCTTAGCCTTTGCCCGTTCAGCCCTTCTTCTTTCAAGCTGTCCGTCTGAGGACGCCCATGATCTTTCACTTTCATCTCCTGAGGGAGATAAGGCGTGGGCATAAAGGCTATTCCAGTACTGTGGTGCAGAAGGAGTTAGGACTTCTTCATTGTCAGATTCTGATTGGTCTTCCTCAGAGCTTTGGTCATCAAAGAGTGTCTCGAGGACATTTTTGAGATTGTTATTTCTTCGCTCTATCTCTAGTGAGGAATTGACCAATTGATTAAAGACTGTCCTTGAGTCCTTCAGTGCTGTGAGAAGGATTTCCACTCTGGATAGAGTATCTTGGATGGTGTCAAGATGTTCCTTTCTTTCCTCCTTGTCTCTCTGGATAGAGCCTCGCAATGCTTGTGCGATTCTGAGGAGGTCTGTGTATTTCGCAAGAGGCATAGTTACCGTTTGATTGTCATGTATGACAGTTGTTTCGTCGCCGCTTAAGTTCCTGAATAGGACTTCCACGATGGTAGGAACTCCGTGCTCCACGGTTCCTCTTCATCATATGTTTCTACGTGCTGTAGCACGCGTTGTGTAAACTGGCCGGCTGCTTCTACCGTTGCATCGATAGAGATGACGTGTCTTGATACTATGTTTCGACACGTAACGTTAATTGCCTGGCCTTGATTGGCTTGGTCAAGTGCAGCGTCTGCATAGGTGCAGAGTCCACTGTTGTGGGCTTCTCTAGCTGCCTTTCGTTGAATACGCCGATTTTGACCTCCTCTTCTGGTAGGACCTTTTGGTCTTGGAGGATCAGAAGGTACTGTTCCTTTCGCCTTCGGCGGAGGACTCTTAGGTGGAGGTGACATGTTAGCCTTGTTAGGCCCTGGTGGCATTGCCTTGGGCGCTGATGACGATGCGGCACTTGGGAGTGCAGATGTACCTCTGGCCTTTGCCGTGGATCCCTTAGGGATCGATGTGTAGGTAATCTGCATGGCTTCCTCGGCCATTTGTGCATGCAAGGCATCCTGAAATAATTGCGTCATGTGAGGAGTGTTACTTGCATCATCGTAGGTCTGGAAGCGCTCAATGTCTCTTTCGGTGCCACGTGGTCGTGTATCACCTCTTTGGAAAGGATCATTCCTGCGAATCTCCGCAACTTGTACTGCATGAAGGCAGTTTTTGCACAGCACCTTCCTGCAAACATCTCTTGCTTGCTTAAGCTGATAACAGCTGTCTGAGAGGTGGTAGACTTCGCTTCGGGAAGTATGCCAGATAGGTCGCAGATCAGTTGTTTCTCCGGAATTGACCCTGTTGGGTCCTAAAGGTTCACGCGTCTGCGGTTCATCCTCGGGTTCGAGGAATGGAACTCTTTGGTTCGCTGCTGCTCTTGATTTTGGTTGTTGGCGCTCCATACATCTGATAGGAGGCCTGGTAATCTGCTTCCACATCCAGTGTAAGCCCATTAGCAGCAGGAACACATTCCACGTGATGCTGAAGACGGAGAAGTCTTGCTCACTGGTTAGTGAGTCTGGAAGTGAAGTTTCATCAGTCTTGGTAGACTCTGCGTTTGCTCCACCTCGGTTGCGGTGTCCGAACCAGCCCGACAACCCCGCTGCTGTAGCAGCTGTTCTGAGTGCCTTGCCGCTCGGAGCAGACGGTGGACGCGATGCCTTCCTTCTTCTTCTCCGACTGGAGGATTCGTCCTCTTGTTCCTCTTCATCTCTCTGAGCAGACATCAAGTTTGATGTTTCTCTTTCGTGTTCTTCGATGTCACTTTTTGTTGGTGACGGTTCTTCTTCTAGTCCATCCAGCTCTTCCAAAGACATGTTGAGCTTGTCAACAATATTGGTTCTTTGAGGCCTGGACCTTGATCTTGGTAGATCTTGTTGTGAAGAGGACGATGATTCCTGGTTCCTTCTTGGAGGAGGACCTTCAGGCTCGCTGGGACGTTCAGGCTGTGGCCACTCCCAGAATCTTCCATATCTGTGATGGCTACCTGATGGTTGCGATTTGTCGTACCAGCTGTTGCCGGATGAGTAAACGAATGAATCGTTGTAACCCCAGTATTCAGCATTACGCTGCTTGTAAGCCTTTCGCTTGTCAGCGATCTTCTGGACCTGGGCATCTGACCGGTTGTGTTTCCCTTTTGTAAGGATTGGTTGTATCGTGAAGCCCAGTGGGCTGTGCCAATCTTTGTCAGTGGGACCCAACCATAGGTCAAGATTAGAAAAAGTTGAATAGTACTGCTTGACTGAAACAAACAGACGGATATCAATATCCCTGTTGTTGTTCGTGTCCTGCCACATATCTGAGATTCGTTCCCAGTATGTTCTTTCAGCGGCAGGTGTAACATCTCTTGGACTAGGTGACGCCGTGTGCGGCGTTTTACTCCAGTCAAGGATATAACTGTTGATACAGTCAAGGTCAGCAACTTTCTTCGCCGGGTCCGCCGGTAGACGATCTGCACGTGCCAGTCTGTGCTGGTCGGAGTTGTTCAAGCAAAGATGTCGCACTTGTGAGTGCCTTCCTGCTATTTTGTTGAATGCTGCAAGTTTCTTCTCCAGGTATAGAGAAAACAAACTGTTTCGCGGGTGAACGTCTCCACCTTTTAAGGTGAGCCTCGACGCAATATTATTGAGATCTCCCGCTATCACATCCGGTTTAAAAGGGAGAATCTCGTTGAGGAACGCGTTCACCAGTTCGCGTCTCTGTTCTTCCTTATGAGTCATGAACGAGTTGAAATGGACGATCGCGATGGTGATGACCTTGTAAGGCCCTTTTGTACACCACATCTCGTCAAGATCGTTAGATGCTTCTTGTGAGAAGATCTCTGCGTATGTCTCAAAGTCTTCCTCTGGTGGCTCATCACCCTCGACATGGCCGTTCCATTCACAGAGAATCGGCGAGGGGTTAAGGGTCGACAATGTCAGACACGCCTCTGGTGAGAGGTAAGAGCCATCAGTGGGTCCATCCTTGTCAGGATTTTTGCCCTTGAGCGGGTCATATCCGATAATCTGCATGAACTCGTCTCTCGTCATCCTTTGGCCAGAATTTGGGTGGACCCATTCTTTTGCCTCTGGTATGGTACTGTGGTACCCGAATGTGAGGCGGCACACCGCACCGTGGCATGCCCACAGTCGCTTCTTGGTACCACCATTCTTAGGCTTCATTGTTCGATGACGATAAAAGTGGTGGACGAGAGCAATGTCTGTCGTTGGGTCACCCTTGACTCCGATGTACATTGAGGGTGCCTCAGGCTCCTTGGGAGGAGAGTGGATTAGCATCCCTCTGTATTCGTGTTTTCGCATGGTTGCGATCGAATACTCTGACGCAAGTGCTCCTGCCTCGAGTACGAGGGTAATATGAGCTGAATTGTTGAAGCACATGTCAATAAGAGGGTGATAATCGAATCCCTTCTCAGGTTTGAGCTTCTTTTTGGGATTCCCTGCGGGCACCGGCGCTCGATCCATATTTCCCCAGTTGAATACCACTAGATTTAGCGATACGCTATCTGGGTTCGAGCCTTCAATGTATTCTCTCTTCTCATTGACACCGGCCATCCTATTGCGAACTATCTCGTAATGTGCATCGAGCACCAGTTTGTCTTCGTGGCCAGTAAGAGTGAGAAAAGAAGCCGGGTGGCTTGTTCTAGAGTCCTTGATGTTGATGTGACTCTTGTTAACGCTCTTATATTCCTCCAGGGTTGGAGCCTCTGTGGAGCTGTCATACGTATTCGGAGGATTGTTCCTGATATCATCAAGGCTGTATGGATCTACGCCTGGATGATCCTTTTCGAACATGCTTCTTGCGTGTTCGCAATACATGTTGATTTTCTGAACTGCCAAATCTACGTCCTCATGTGTGAGGATGGCCTCGTATAAAAACTGACGCTCATCTGAGGTCATTCCTGCTCTCACCTTGGAGGTCTCAAGGCAATCGATTGGCAAGACGCACTCGCACATCCGTTGT